TATATATATACAGGGTTTTGTACACATTGTCCAACTCATGGGTCCTTATTGGGCTATTTGGGCCAATGAGTGCAATATGACGAATGTGAAGGAAAAAAATGTCCACTTATTATTCAAATTTGTATCTTTGGGTCCCACATGAACCTGAGCATGATTGCTTACATGGGCTCCATTTGTAGCCACAATGGGCCCATTAGTGACTGACAAGGGCAGACACACATGGGGGATATATGGAGGTGGTGGACAAATGAGCTGGCATTTGGGCCCCAGTTGGGTCAACCAAATGGCTCCTAAATGCCAACTCATCACTAACCCATTGACACAGTAGCAGGGTCTGCGCTTTTTTTTTTCTGTTTGACTGTAGATGGTTAACTGAAAATCATGTCAAAACGCTGGTGCGCTGGTGCATTTTTCACTCCTCGATAAGCTTGCTGATGCTTGAAAGAGAAGGGAAGGACAGGAGAGACAAGACTGGAGAGAGCAAAGGAGGAGAGGAGGGAGGGCAGAGAGAGACAGAGAGAGAGAGTGGCCTTAGTGTCTTTTTCGGGCACAAGGCCTTGCCATCTGACACCTGCCACTGAGTGGGCACGAATTCCCTGTCCGCTTGGCAGGAAGTTAAGGCCAGCAAACAGGAACTCAAAGGAGGAGTGTATGCAAATACCAACAGCCAAAGGAAATGGGTGCCCTTAGTGTCTGTGTGGAGGCCAGACGAAAATGGCACCTGCTTCCCTCACAGACACCCATTTAGAGGACGACAGTAGCATAAAGTCTTCATATGAATTCCCTTTCTGGACATCTTGACTCTGGAACAACTGCTGCTTTTGGTATTTCCATGAATCTCTGTCTTTAAACGCCCCAGTAAAACTAAAAATCTGCACCAGTTCAACACATCCAAGTACATATGCATGTGTGTAGTGCATCTCTACAGCTAAACACATTACATACATGAGGTCATGTAAAATGCCATCGCTTAATATGCCACATATAACATGACATTCAGGGATATTATTAGTTCTGCTACAGCCCAAAGAGCTCAGTTTCTGTTGAAAGGCCTGACAGGAGTGGAGAGCAGCAGAAGAGGGAGGGAGGGAGCAGTTGAAGTTAAGAGTGAATACTGATGAGGAAAGCTACAGAGATGCAGTATGCCTACACAACAAGACATTGATACACACACACACACACACACACACACATGCACGCCCACAGACGTTCCCAAACTCCAAACATCACGAGAGTGTGCAGGTGACGGCAGAGCAGGCCCTATTCACTCTTCAACTACAACTTCAACCAGCAGACAGAGATCCCATTTAGCCGCATATAAACACACACAATGAGACACTCTCATGTCAATGTTGATGTAATGCGCTGCACAGTGCAGAAAGTAATTTGCAGTGTGTGCGCCACACTGACACACAAATGCGCACAAAAGAAAACATTATGTACTGCATTGATAATAACCATTTATACACATCAGCATTTTTCATTCCAAAGTGATTATGCTGTGCAATGGGACTTTATAAATGGTTCTTTACACAGTATTTTGCATACGGCGCGTTGTACTCATTATTCAAATACGTGAATTGCATCCATTGTAAAACATATGCATGATCAAATCGAATATGCATGAGTTTCACACAGTGCCAAAAATATACATGTGAATGAGCTTGACAGTTTGCTCGCAAAGTCTCTCTCTAACAACACAGAGGATTACAGCTCTCTGAAGCTCGAGACCTGTGAAGCTTTAACACAAGAAAATCACCACTTTTGGCCTCAACTGTTCTGTTTAGCAAATATTCACCCACTCGCATTAACCAGTTGCAGAAAATCTGACTGAGAAGTGCAAGGAACGCTGCAAAATGAGACACCCTACAATGAATCTGCTGCATTTAATCCACTGCACCTTTGCTTCATCATGCCTTCACTGCAAAACATATGAAACAGCTTAATATAATATCTGTCTAAAAAGCATTCCTCATATGAAACAGATACAAGGCTTAAAAAAACAGCAAACACAAAGGCGTCGTTGTCTCTGTAGTCTCTGAAACACTGTGAAGACACACTTCACATAGGATTCTCTGAGCCACTGGGGCATTCCTGGGGAATGCAAAGGTGCAGATTTTTTTTCCGCCTGGTCATCAGTTTGATAGCTCTCAGACTATCACAGACGATCCCTGCCGGAACCGCCTTAAACAGGCCGCAATCAATTCTCTTATAACCAGCCTCTCATCCCTTTTTTAACACCAGGGCCTTTTGAAAAGGAGCTGCAGGAATGATCTAAAACAGAGTGTAATGGTCACTTGTTCAAATGTGATGAATAAAACAACATAGAAAACCTTAAACTGTCACTAACAGACAGCTGGATCAAGGAGGCAAGAACCAGAGGGACTGCAGGGCTGTTTCTCATCATTAGTTTCTTCTTTTTGTTTCCAAAAAAAAAGACAAAAAAGGTATAAGTAAAGAGAGGAAAAAAAGGATTGCATTAGGGCGCATGTTACTATATGAAAAGTACAACAAATACAAGAACAGTTTGCACACAAAAATCAACCAGAATGCTCTTTTCTTTCAAATATCTTTGCTCAGCATAGGGGAGTATAATTTAAAATATCTGTAAATTTAAATATCTAAAGCAAAGGAGGGTAAAAAAAAATAACTTAATGCATACTTTTCTCTATACAATGTCAGTAAATAATGACAAATGCTTTTCATAATTTTCTATGCATGTCTTAAAATGTCTTGTTTAGTCCAAAACCCAAAGATATTTACTTTACAATTCACTTAATTTAGAAAATAAGAAAGCAGCTAAGTCTCACATATGAAAAGCTGGAACCACTGAATGATTTTTCTTAAAAAATGATGAAAAATCACAGCACTGAAACAGATAACCAAAGGGTGGAAAAAACTAGCCCCCCAGATGTAATAAAATGGAAAAGTAGGATTCAAGAAGTAAGATTCATGGAGAAAGTGACTCTCAAAATAAGGAATAGGGAAGATGTGTATGTGAAAAGGTGGCTTATAGAAGATGGGAGACTGTAACTATACTGTCACTATATTTAATGTATAAAAATGTGTTCAGTGTACAGTGTATGAGATATTGGAGCTTAATAGTTATCATCTTCCACTATTAGTTAGCCAACATCTATTAAACACTCTATTAAACGGTTAGTAATCTATTAAAAGCAAATAAGCTGTATATATGAAGATGGGCTTGAAAAAATAAAGTAGAAAAAAATGAATAAAAAATGATGAAAAAGATTAATCAAAATAATTGAAAATTACTTTCCTGTCAGCCAACTGTTTGTTTAATCAGCTATTATATTGCAGCTTCAATTGTCTGACATAAAATTGAGAAATATTGTACATCATCATGACATACCAAAACTGAATTATTCTTTTTGTAAAAACACTCACCAGTGAAAGTGAAAGTAAAAGCCAACCCTAGATTCATGCTTGTTTCATGTTTCACTTCACTATATATTATATATTTGTGTCTTTTCAGCGCTGTGTTTCTTGGATGCCTGCTGATTACTGTCTAGCATCTGGTTGCTATAAAGCCTGACCTCACCTGGGGGCTGATGGGTTACACACCCATAAACGTCCTGAACACAGAAAATCAAAAAAACAAAATAAGAAAATACAGGCTGAGGACAGAGCATCTGCAAAAAAACACCCCCCCACACACTTCTAGTGGGCCGTAAGTCACGAGTTAGAGAGATTACTTCTGTATGAGTCTATACTTTACTCTTTTTTAGGAAAATCCTGCATAGTATCTCTTTAAAAATGACTGCTAACTCCACACAGGAAAGAAACTAAAACTTGAATAAATTATAAATTAAATCGGAAAACTAATTACGAATGCAACATTAAAAACCCTGTAAACATTTACTGTATCCACTGAACATATGAATGCAGGTACAATGGCTGAATAATTATGCTTATCATCAGGTGTGCTGAAAGACTACCAATGTTCATACTTCTGACCTTGAGAGGATCAAGGCCAGAATGCTGGATTGTAACATATGGAGCTTAAGTGTATGACGCAGGTTCTCTACTTTTTCCCCTTCACACCCACACACATCTTCCCAGGTTCGTCTTGTAGACAGGTGACTCACCGTTGACTGTGAGGTGCACCCAGCTGCCGTTGTGGAAGGTGTCGTACTGTTGCTCCAGCATCAGGACCCTGCACTCGTACCAGCCCTGGTCCTCGGAGCGCACTGGATCAATCTGTAGGGAGGCCTTCCCGTGCAGAGAGGCTCTACCTGGACACAGAAAGGCAAAAAAATATTAATAATAATTTCTGCTTTTCAAAACACCTGCATGCTCTTTAGCAGCAATGGTCGGCTTCTCCGTTTAAACTCACACTTAGCTGCTTTGCTGGTCACCATAGTGATCCATCATAGCAGCTGGAGGTTGAGTGCTTCACTTCAACCTTTGTTCTCCTTATAGAATGAAGCAGATTTATGAGGCACTGGGTTTGCATCAAAAGTAGTCTTCATGTCATGATGTAAAGCTAAAAAGGACAAATAAAATATAGTCTTCCACTGAGTACTGTGTGTTATTGGGATTAGGTGTAACATATACGAATTCTGTAAGTGCTCCATAAACTCAGACTTATGCACAAGCCTATTTTGATGCACAAAGTGTTGGGCGTGACAAACAAATTTGCTCTTATTCCTATTCAGGGAACGGTCTGGAGCTTTTCCAGGCGCTGGATGGAAGGCAGGAAAACACCGCGGACAGGCTGCCAGTCTCTCACAGAGTTAACAGAGACAGACAATCCCTAACACTTACTGTACCTTCATACCTACGGGGCAATTTACAGCCTTCAATCAGCCTGACTTCCAAGTCTGTGGACTGCTGGAGGAAACACAAATGGATATAAAGAGCATGCAGACTCTGGATAGCGCCCAAACTCACAGTATTATTAGCAAGAGAATTCTGTTTGTTTGTAGATTTAAAAAGATTTTGACATTTTGGGAAATACGTTTATTTGCGAGTTAGATTGCTACTATTCTCATGTGCTTAGACTTAATACTGGTAACAGAGGAAAACAGCTGGCCTTGTAGATAAGTGCAAAACTGTTTTCTTAACCTGGCACTGTGTCTTTCTCTAATGAGATACATCATGATAATTAGTGAGCTTTAGAGGCACTGGTGGGCAGATTTTATATCTTTGGACAGAGCCAGGCTTGCAGGTTTCGCCTTGCATCCCAGCTACTGCACATGTGCAACTAAAGCCACGTTTCCACTGATGCTTTTGGTAAAGTACCCTGAGAACCTGTACGTAATCCATATGGACATGCACACAAACACTTAATCCATTTTACGTTTTCACCACAGACAGTACTCTTCAATGTAGGTGGGGTTGTTACTGGATTGTAACGTCACTACTCGAACGTCTCGATCATCCACAGTTGTACGCCGACAATGTCAGAACAAAAAAGAACAGGCTGGAGTCTTGAGCGTCCCTGTTGCAATCAGTGGTAAACTTAAAAATAACGAGGTGTGGTTTGTGAGTCCTTGTCGAGCAAGAGTGACCATTCTCAAACCAATTAACGGACTGCAGGGCCAAAAAAACAGGACTGAATGGAACAGTTCTATCGGTGCTTTCGACAACCTTTGGCGAAATAACTGTTCTAATGTGTGACAAAGTAAACTGTACTGAAGCAACTGCTTGGTGGAAATGAAGCCCGCTTTGTGTGGGGAACTGCCCATTGGTCCGACATCCCATTGTTCCGACCATATTAAACCCATTGTTCCGAAGTCCATTCTGAAATCATCATGATGCCCTGTGGTTAAGGTCTGGTTAGGTTTAGGCACAAAAACCACTTGGTTAGGGTCAGGAAAATATCATGGTGTGGGTTAAAATGAAAAAGACAAACACATAAGCTGTGAGCCTGCTTCGCCTCAAGCCTTTCCCAGCTGACCCAGAGCCGGTCGCGGCGCACCATCAAGGTAGAAATACGCCCACCGGGAGCTGTTCAGCACCACGGACAGTTGGACTAATGGGATGTCGGACCAATGGGCTGTCGGACCAATGACATGGACCCCTTTGTGTGACCAGGAAGGTCCTGAGTTTTTGAATGAATGAATGACTTTATTTCGAATGAAAAATCAAAAACATAATAAAAAAACAAACAAGACAATGATAACAATGTCCGAAAAGGAAACTTATATGTCCCTACCTCTTTCTTACATTTCTTCTTCTAACTCATATATTATTCAAACAAATTCCCAATTTTATTTACAACTTATATATAACCATCCCCAGTCTATTTACCACCCAATTAATAAATAAGTAATAAACCCAGTTTATTTACAGTCCAAGTACCATCCAGGGTTCTTCATCTTGCTCTTGATAAACTTGAGGCAAATACACTTGGGTGATGGTGGTACTTGATTTAATGTCATGAAGATGAGCTTGAACATCACCATATATGTTTTTCCCCTTGACTAAGTATTTTGGAAAATAAAAACAAGACTAAATCTGCAGCACACAGTGTACCTCAGTGTATGCGTGTGCTGGGACAGGAGTGGAAACGCTTCAGAGCATGCCTGAGAATCATCATGTTTTTTAGGGTTTACTCAGAATCAAAGTAACTCAGTGATAGTTGTCAGTACATTCAATGGTACAAGGCAAAAAAATGAACTGTTAATAGTTATTTCGGAGGACTTAATTTTCAAAAATGTAAACAAATATAAAAGAGGGCTCACTGTATCGATGGACACATTATTCTTCCTGTTTCTAGTATATCATATACCTCATCAATCTGCATCCAGAAGATGTTAACACTTGTTTTAAAAAAAAGTCTCAATCAGTCTCAACACTCTAAATTAAATATGTTTAATTCAGAATTAAACATCATTTCTTCCGAAGCTGATAATAGAAGAGTGAACTATCTTCATTTCTGTTTAGGTTGTCCAATGAGTAGTACCCATCATGCAGCTAGGACCAATGGACACTGACCAACTAACTGTCCCCTGGCTGTTGCTTCATATCTAACGTGAGAGTGGTATGGATTTTCTCATCTAATTCTCACGTATCCCTCATGTTGTTTAAACTTTAACCGATTAAACATCAAAATATTTAACCATAAATGTGGCTTGAAAACAACCCAGCTACCTTCCAGCACTGGGATTTAAGCATGAAAGTACCACGGAGCCGTACCTTCAGCTGAATTAAAATAAAGTATTTGCCATCACTGTGGGAAAAGACCAGCCTCCCGCCTCAAAGAAATCAACTACTTCTTATAAAACTTCTCCATCCCCACTGCTTTTTTTCTTCAAGGCTGCGGATAAATTGGAATTCTAAAAGGAGGAAATCACAAGGGATGAGAGAAGTTCAGGAAACCAGGCATGGTGAAATCTTCAGCTGCTAAGCTGTCTGTCTTCAAGCCTCCAGCCCGCTGCTCACATGGCTGCCTCTGACAGCCCAACAGACTAAAACATTCGCTTCTGCTGTCTGACGAGTGTTCGGAGATGGAGCATTTTCCAAACTTTGATGTGTAGATGTTCTGTAAGCACTGTTTCCTGTTACTTAAAACTGTCAGGCAAATATATCGACGTTGAGGGCGGGCTGCGTTGCTCTACCAGCACTGTATATGAGCGCAATAGATAGATACCCCAACCCTGGGATTGCTGCCATAGTTGGGGTAGAAAACTGACATTTTTTTTTCTGTTAGCGGAAAATCGATGCAGCAAAGAGGAAGAGAGAAGAGTCTGCAGTCTTGCAGTAAAAAAGGTGGCTTGTCTTTAAAAAGTCAAGTCTATTTTTGCCCGTGCATTGAAGTGCTGAGTGGGGCGGGTGGTGGCGTGAAGGGTAGGGATCAAGCTCAGCTCCCATTTGTCAAAGAGTGAGAGGGTGCTGCTGTAAACAGAGTTAACAGCACTGTATCCACGTCAAGACTGGCTCCCCTGGGCATACACCACTTACACAGTTCAGGGCTCTGTCTACTGTGAAAACAGACGAGCTAACACCTTGTTCAGATCACATCACAAGCTTTGTCAGATAGGAAAGCTTTGAAGGGGAAACACTAAAGATCCAAAGTGACAAAGTTGGCAGACACAGTGTGCTTGACTAAAAAAACAAGTTTACGTCCCACAGAGCTTTGATCAAAGATGGCAAATATATAGCTTTACAAAGGTCGTGTATAATCTTTGAGTAAATTAGTACAGTCATAAATACAGTTAACTATGAACCCCTGAAAGTAATAACATTTCAAAATATAGTAAATGGAGTTTGCAAACATGTGCCTTTTTCTCAGCAGACATTTTGTTCTGTCCAAAACCGCCCCCTGGTTTACTCATTACACACTGAGTCCTACACTCTATGGTGAGCCGTAAATTGAAATTTCGGCCCGCTATGAAAGTTCTGTAGTTCTGTAATTATCACATCTGTAAACAGAACGCATTGCATTGCGGGATTGTCAGCAGAAAGAAGTGCACATGCCACTAAAGGCCCAGATGCATCATAAAACTAATTGCAAATAAGACCAACTGTTGTGTCCATTTCTGTTCGCATGCACTGAATTGAACTGCCAGTCGGAGTGATCTCATTCAGACAGGTTCCACCCTCTCCAAGGCAGATTCAACATGCTGAATCATCAGAAAAAAAGCCAACATGGGCCAAGTAGTGCTAACAGTGCGGGACACACAGCAAAATCTAGGCCGACGCTCACCAACAGCCCGACATTGACCGAAGGCCGACCATTGGCTTGGTGTATCATGGCCATAACAGCACTTCTTTCTGCTCCACTGTGTGTTTTTTTCGAGGGCACTATTTAGCTCATACATTTCACACTCAATAGTAAGACAGCTGAATAAAATGGCGGACACTTAATGTAGTGCACTTCATACAGTGTTCATATCATTCTTTAGACCATAATTACAATCATCCGACTCAGAAAAAGATGTCGCATGTATACAGCACTAGTAAGTATGAACTGGGTTTGAACAAAGTTTTTGACTTCATGTTTCAGCCCCTGACAGGACAGTATAATCTTATAGATACTGTACATATCTATATTATTCTTCTGCAGAGATATGATTTAGTTTTCCAATAGCTTGTCCCAAAGCGGGACAATCTGACACTAAAATTTCACAGGCTGCGACATCTGAATTATTGATTGCGTCATTGCTTGAGTGGGCACAAAAATAGATGTTTTTAAATGTTGTAATTCCCATATAGCCACAGGACAAAGCAGCAGGATAGATTTTAGTCTGCGAGGAGATATGTACAAGTTCTCATTTAGCAGGGAATT